TCTGGTGAACTGAACATGCATTTGGAGGCGCGAATTGACACGTTCTTTTGGGCGAACCGCTGCAGTATTTTAAGAAGTCCATCGTCATGCTCGGCCTTCGTTGTGCCAAATACAATGACATCGTCCTGGTACGCTAACACGCCATCGAGTCCACGGATGACTTCGTTAATTGCCGCCTGGAATATGCCGGAGGATGTGCGGAGACCAAACGGTAGGAAGTTGTATTGATACAGTCCCCATGGTGCGTTGATAGTGGTGAAATGCCGGCAGGTTGGTGCGAGTAGAATCTCGAGGTATGCATCCGGCCAAGTCAATCTTCGAGAAGTATATACTACATTGCAATGCTTTCACAAAATCCTTCGGTTCCATGGTGGTAGCCGCACACTTTCGCAACCTCGGGTTGAGTGTTAAGCAGTAGTCGCCACAAATTCGCGGTGTTTTGCCTTCACTCTTGATTGCGATCACGATTGGCGCTGCCAACGTACTGGATGTGACTCGTGTGATTATGCCATCGCGCTCCATTTTCTCAAGGGCCTGCAGTACACCATCACGTTGGTCGTAGGGAATTACACGTCGTTTCAGGAAAATGGGTTCACCATCAACTTCCAGTTTGGCCGGCTGTACGTTCATACCTCCCGTATTATTGGAACATTTCACAACCAGGTGCTGTAGATGGGTATGCATCTTGGACATAGAGTTTGTACAAGGGACACACAATGGTTCAATTCACGAATGGCCGTTAGGCCGAGTATGGACGGACTGTGTTTAGCAATTAGGAAGCGAATGGGAACAAGGCAATTTTCTGTTGAGTGAACCATCATTGGAACCTCGCCAATCAATGATAATTGCTGTCCAGTTACACCAAGAATTCGCATGGATGCCGGTTGGATTTTTGTTTGGGGATATATGGATCAAAGCACAACATTAGAAATAATAGATTCCGTACTTCCAGTGTCAACAATGAATTTGTGAGTTTTACCAGACTGTAATGTCACATCTCGGTACAAAAATTGGGTGGCTGGGCCTTCAGAACGTAGAGAGAGCACAAGGTGCGTGTCGTTTGAAGCATTTGGCTGTGTAAGATTGCATTGTTTACATACTCTCCGAATGTGGCCAATTTTTCCGCAAGCATGGCATTTGGCGTTACGAAAGCGGCAATTGGAGCGTAGGTGGTGGGCTCCACAAGACAAACACGGATTTATTCATTTTTCATTACCTGGGGAATCTTTCTGCGGCCTTGGTGCACGTTTAGCCGTTGGGGGTCGACTCGGTGGAGTCTTCTACCGTTGGAATAGTGTGACTGCTTCGCTGGAAGTGGCCTTCATCAAGTCATCATGCTGTTCACAAATTTTCCGGGCTTCGGCAAAAGTTAAATCCTTCTTCTCCAGTAACTTGCATTGCAGACTGAGATTGTTGATGCCGGCTACCAAACGGTCACACATCTGTTCTTCCAAACGATCACCGTAGTTGCAGCGTGATGCCTGTCTGTTTAGCTGCAGGATGAAATCACGGCAA